ACTTAAATTTACATTACAGTGAAACTTCGTTAATAAGAATGCATTTGTAAGAAGTAATTTTTCAGTATTATCGAAACATCTGGATAGTCTAATCAGTCACTTTGAATACAATGGGCACTCTATTAATAGCAAGCGTTATCGATCGGTAAATGTAAGGGTGCAAACTAGTAAAGGCAACTGATGAACAAAAACCTACTGTACGTAGAATAAATTTGTGTACGTTTATTATTTTTATATCACCAATAATTTTACAAACTGCATAATCAAAGTGGCATGTCATGTCATTATATTCACATAAACCATCATTTTGTTCATACCAGTTACAGAATTCGAAATACATAGCACATGTATTGCTTTTTTCTATAAACCAGCATTACGTTTTAATGATGCTGGTGTTTTTATTTGTCTTCATTTGGGAGCACTGTGAGTTGACGTAACTGTATCATAAATCACCCTAATGACCTCTTGATATATGTTACAGTTTACAGTACTTCCCTATTCTTAATGTAATTTTCAGAACGTTGTGGTAAAATGGTATACCCACTGCGAGTACAGATGTTTAGTAGTCAGATATAATCACCTCGTTTCCTGTTCTGATTGATTCCTACCTGACTCTCGTGGAATAATATATGTATAGAAAATGGATGTTTGTTGTAAGAAATAGCTCTATAAATAAATTGTGTTGATACTGAAAACATGTAAGCACCCCTAGTTCAATAACGTTTTTTCAGAAGTAAACGACTAAAATCTTATTTTAAAAGTAGCTTTCAACTTAGATTTGTAAAGCCGCTTAAACAGTATTATCTAATCATAACATTTGAAAAAAGTTATATAAAAACGTCAGCAACGATTGTTCTAAGTAGTTCAACATTTGAACGAGTTATTTTCAAGTAACACCAGACCAATTTTTCTGCTATTTAATAATATATTTGGTTTCGCTGATTTATCTCGATGGCGATAGGGTGTATACTGGGGAAATGTAATCACGTCACTGAAGCAAAGTCACATCGTTATTATAAAGTACAGGTAATAAAGTAATAGCTGAGCTCTTCCATCTCCCTTCGTGATGTTTTGTTTAATTTTATGGTTTTTCAGTAAATACCCTTGAATTCTACATGAAATTTCTTGTGTGAAATTATATAGGTTTTGGTTATCTTTGGGTATTTTAGGGAACCACATTCTGTTATATTTTTTTTGCCTTGAAATATCTTCGTGCTCTCATCGTCCGTTTTCATTTCTTGAAGATCGATATCTGTTTCATTAACTTCAGTGGATGTGTGACTTTTATTTGTTGTATTAGTTCTTTGTTTATCTCTGATTGGTTGTTGCACAAATCTTCTAGTTAAATCTTCTATTCCAGTTTTGATTCCTAAGGCTGGAACATTTTTTGTGTCATTGTATATTTTAGGCCCATCACACACTTATGAACAGAGCATAACAAATCAACATTCAATCAATAACAACAACTTTAAAATATTATGTAAAGAAAACAATATCAATAGAAGAAACATTAAAGAAGCGTTTATTATCCGCGATTTAAAACCTAATTTAAATACAAATACTGGTGTCTCTTTATATCTATTCTAAATTGGAACAAAATGATCGAGTAAATTACTAAAACTTAACACTATATCATAAATTTACCTGATGATGACCACACGAGTGGTC